TGAATCCATCACAGTTCAATATAATTGACATAGCCTATTATTTTGTTTCACAAATGACTAATTCATGTCATGTAATTTTTTTTTTTTATTCAATAAAGTTTACAACCTATAATGCATTAACCACAGTGTACTGTAAATTCTGTAGTTAACCTTCAGGGAACTTTATTATGTTCGAGGTTAAGTTTCAAGTTAACTTTACAGACGCGCGTATACAGACGTCAATTAACATCTAGTTGCTCAAAAATGGTAACTTGTAATGTTCGATTAAAAATGAAAAAAAAATCTATATTGTATAATATTAATAGGTCGCTTTATAAGGCGCAAACACAAACAACAATAATGACATTGCAGCGTTCGTAAAATGTTTGTCACTGGTGCTGGGAATAGTCACAAAATTGGGGGAGGCCCACCAGTAGAAAGTGTGAGGGGTTGCAATGATCCCTGCGTCCCCCTCCCTTCCTCCCCCGTTTTTACACTCAATCTGTGAAAGTCCTTCCCTTCCTGGATCCGCCACTGTATTTTGAAAATTTAGTGTGCAAATAAATTTTAATTGTATTCCTTAAAACCATTTAGACGACTTATAACAGGCTTATAGCCAGAGCTTCAGGCGGATCCAACCCCTCCCCCCCCCCTCGAGACCCCCACCGGGGTCATTACGCGGCCTACGGCCCAAGACTCCACTTTCAACCACGGATCGACGTCCTTGGCCACCACCAATTTGTTGGGACAAGAACTAAATATAGCCAAATTATGTCATATAGTTGATCCAATAACAATGCCAAGTTTCATTTTGTTGAAGCCATTTAAACAATTTCTACTACAAAATATTTAAATTTCAGTGTTTTGCCTATTTTCTTGGAATTTCAAGTTGAAATTAAGGAACTATCAACAATTTCTCTTACCAAGTGTAATTTTGTTTTATTAATACCAAGTCACATAGAATAAATATTAGGAGGAAATTTCTAAAAAGAGGACCGTTTTAGGCTACTGTGGGGTGGGGACAAGTAAATAAGCAGTGGCTTATTTTAGACACATATGTCTAAAATGGGAAATTTAATAGTGTTTAATCGGTTGTAGACATTATCTTGTCCATTGAGTCAAAGAGTATATAGAACTAGCAAGAGGTCCGACTGTTCTTATTTGTTATGCAGGCAATGGAACGTTAAAAAGTACTGCCACGACGGGTGTGTCCTTCAAAAGATCGTATATATATGTATATATATATATGTATATATATATGTACATATGTGTATATATGCGTATATGTATATGCGTATATAATGTGTATATATATATATAATATTATATATATATATATGCATCCATATCATAATTGCAGGAACATGTGACGACCCTACCAAGCTCTGTAACTGTGACGTCAACGACGATGCTCCCCGTCTCGACCAAGGCTACCTTACTGATAAAGCAACTTTGCCTGTTTCGCAGCTTCGTTTTGGAGATACTGGTGGTGCAAAAGAGAAGGGTGTCTACACGCTGGGACCATTGCAATGTGCCTAGGATTTGTTTGTCAGCCCTCTGACTATGAAAATATCAGTGACTTACATTTGTCTCAGTTGCTATGGCGACGACTGTATATTATCAAACAAGTTCTCCCCGAGTCCTTAAGACAGTTTACTAGTTTGTATTAAGAATCCAAATCTTCATATACATATGAAATAACTAATAATAATAATAATTCAACACGCATAAGCCCTACTCTACCAAAGCTATTCTTTTCTGGGGATAGAACATAAAATACAGACACGAACACGTTAAAAACTTTAAAAGTTATTATTATTTAGAATAAGATAAGGAACTATCAATATCAAAATTTAACAATATAAAATTACATCTTTATATAAATTTATTAAATTTGTTTATGGTTAGGTAGTTACTTGCCCTGGACTAAATCTTAAATATTTTTTCAAAGGTTTTTGAAGCACCACGTATATAGTTCTCAAAAGAGTATCTTGACGTTTCACTTGAAGAAGTGTAATGTGTACACGAATGCTTGTGATGATAATAAAGATTTCAACTATACTCAAAGTGCTGCTTTACTGTTTATTGTAATAGTCCAGTACAACTCACTATATTGTATTTGCCGAGACTATACATTCTATTCTGGTTACGTTTCGGAAGGATTGATCCTAATATCTCATGGTGACAGAGATTTTTTTGTACAGTAGTGATCATTATTACCCCCCCCCCCCCCCACACACACACACATACAATATGTAAATATGTAATATGCAACATCACGTAAAAACTAAGGAATGGATCATCAAAAACTTTAGTGGAATGGTTCCTACTAATCTAGGAAGAAATTGTTACCTTTTGGGAAGAAAAAGGTCAAATGACAAGGAAAAGTTTGAAGAAATTCGACTTTTCCCTTTAACATACCCTTCGAGCATGAAGGAAAATAATAGAATCGCCCATAGACGGCCTGTGTATTGCTCGGTATCCAGACACAGTGCGCAGGTATTTACCGAATGGAGTGACTGCTTTAGCTATTAATAAACTCATGTTCCGCTTTATAATACGTATATTCAAGATAATGAACTAAGTGAGCATTTATTAGTAAAATTTGCCTTGGTGAAACTTGATACAACATGGCCTACAGTAATTTATAAAAATGAACTTAAGGTGTTTATGCACATGGGGAGGCTTTAAAAGCAGCGTTTCAAGAACGCATAGTATAAATCGATGCATAGTATCGATTTGTTGCAACTTTACAATACGGTATAGTACAGTTTGCTCCATCTGACTTCTTCAAAGTTCCATGTCTTGACAATGAAGTCAGTCTTTCTCAGCAACATCTTTTGAAGAAAACTGACTGGGTTAAGGATTTGACATGAACAGCATCGACATACTTCATATTATTTACTCCCTGAGAAATCAGTTGTTGAATAGTTTTTTTGTTGATACCAAAACAACAGAACACATTCAATGTACTCGCATTTAAATTTTGTGATGTTATATTAAAATACTCATATTCTCCGTATTAACGCCTTGGCCCATATTCTAGAGCGGCATTTATTGTATCATTTATGGTACAGTAACTGTTGAGAATAGTAAATAAAAACTGAGATTTTCGATGTTTGCGTCAGGAAACTTAATGGGAATTTTGTTTTTCCCTACCTGAGATATTATCACCTGAGAATTTATCTTACTGTATGCTCAGCACGTTCCCAAATACTTGCAAAAAAAATCTTGCCAGTGATTTGGGGGGAATCGAACCCAGGACCTACAGATAACTAGACTGATGTCATAATCAGTAGACCTTTCGAGCTTGCGCATGTGTTAAATCCGATCCCCAAGTAGTAGCAGGTACTGCAATGCTATTTTTATAGGTGTTTGCAACAGAACAATTAATAGGAATGGTGTTTGCCGTATTCAAATTATAATAGAAAATGGTAGACCATATACACTACAGTATTTACCTATTAACTGTACCTAGGACTGCATCTTCATACGGTGATCGCGCATTCTATGTAGCAGCACGCAGGCTCTGGAATGCATTACCAATTGAAACCCACAGATGCAGTTCGGTTGATGTTTTTAAAACACATTTATTTCAAGTTGCTTTTAATCATTAATTGTTTTTATCATTGTACTTTTATAATTTTTTTAAAATTTTTTATTTCCATGTTTAGTATGTTTGTGTGTGCCTCGGAATAGGTTTACCTAGATAGATGGTGCATTATAAATGCATTATTATTATTATTATTTATTCCTTTGACAACAAAATCATCATCATCCTCCTCAACAAGATTGGACAACATTCCAATTGTGCCACAAAACCAACATATTTGTGTTTGTAAAACAGAACATAGGACTTTCCCTCATTGCCATAATGAGAACTGATGTTAAAATTATAAAGTTAAAAAGTTAATAACGACATTATAAGTAAAAATATAAAAAAATACACATTGAAAAAAAGTTTATGAAAAAAAGAAAGAAAACCACCTAAACGTCAGTGAGACCTGAACGAAATTACTGCAATGGCAACAGTGAGGGTGATGTGGAAATTTCTAACCATTGCACCATACAACCCAACCTTGCTAGGTCAGTGCATTTATACTTAACCTAGGTTGCATAATTTCACAGGTTGAGGGAGAAAATTGTTTATGTATTTCACTGTGATTTTGATTAACTTAGCTGTAGCTAGTATGAAACACTTTAGGGAACACAAGTTGTGTTAACATAAAAGCTTAATTACCCATTTATCAATATTCAAAATAGGTAGATATCATATTTTACTATGCACATCTTTGACATATGGTCTTTGCTTGAACGAAGTTTGAAGAAAATCCAAGAATGGAAGGTAACGTTAAGTTGCGGACAGAAAAACCCTGTGTAAAAACAAAAACAATGGCTTTTCCGCCAGGAAAAGAATATTCGACAGCTAGGTGAAACTGACTGACTGTTAGGTGAAACTGACTGACTGCTTTATACTGATAGCAGAACATATTTTAAATTATCCATATTTCATACCACTATCTGGTTCCTGAATGCATTTAAAATAATTATTTATGTTCATTTCAGATTTGGTTAGCTAGATGCTTCCATCTTGTAAGGTGTGTTAAGCAGCTGTAGGCCTTGACCAGGAATTAATATATGAATTTTGCCTCTGAAAAACAAAACAAAGATGAATGTGATTAAACAGTACAAAAAGAAATATGTAAATAAAAATAAAAATAATAAAATAATAATTATATAGAATATCAATATTTAAAAAAACATTATTCTTCTATTAGAAAAATAAAATAAATAACAATCAATAATAATATAACACTTATAATAGAATAAATAATGCAATATAATAAAAAAAAATATGAATTTTGCCTCTGAATAACAAAACAAAGATGAATGTGATTAAACAGTACACAAAAAAATATGTAAATAAAAATAATAATTATATAGAATGAATATTAATATTAAAAAAAAAACATTTATTCTTCTATTAGAAAAATAAAATTAATAACTATCAATAATAATATAACACTTATAATAGAATAAATAATGCAATATAATTAATTTTAAAAAAATCATCTTTTATTAGGTTCAGATTATATGAATAGTTTATTCATACTTCCCAAGTATATAGCTACTCCAATTTCGGAGTGTCTGTGCCGACTGCAAAAACTCCAAACTCTGTGAATTCAAAAATGTGTTTCCTACATTGGAAACGATTGTACTAATTTTAATAGTTTTAGTCTACAAAATCTCTGATGTTGGAGTGTGGGCGTCTGGTGCGTAAACTCTAATCTTGGAGTTTTTTTTTCATATAATATGCAGAAACTCCAAAATCAGAGAATCAAAAATGCATTCCCCATATTGGAAATCATTGTGTTAATTATAATAGTTTTTAGTAAACAAAGCCTCAAATCTTTGAATGTTTGCGCCAATTGCAAAGTTGTTTGCTTCGATGGAAAATTTGTGTACAATACAGTACATATGCAGAAACTGTGCATATGGATTCTATATAAAAATTTTTTAATTACCATGAGTTCCAATTTCAAACATGTTTGCACCATAAACTCAGCTTTTGGAGTTTTTTGCATATAATATTGAGGCTGGGATGTACACTCAGTGGCATATTCTAGGGGAGGGCGCGGGGGTGCATCCTCTCCCCCCAAAAAATGTATGCGTTCACTTAACTCATATTTTTCTGTTTTAGTGAGAGTTTTCATCTTTAATGAATGTGAATAAAATAACAAAATAATATCAATATTAATTAAGCAAGAAGAACTATTAGCAACACCAACTCTAGGGCTAACTATAGTTGAAGAAGCTGCCTTGGTTAAACATTATGTAATTAGAAATTTATGAAAAAAACCCAATCAGAATTAAATATAGTTCAGAAGCTATGGAATTACAGGTCTCCCTCTACTAAAAGACCACTACAATTCAATTAGAAAATATCTTTAATCTTCAATAATCTCATTACACCAAAGCTGCTAAAGACCATAGAAACCGCAGTCCCAACAGTGGTCTTTACTTGGAGGGAGACATGTACACTAATTTGAACCAGTGAATTAAAAAAGGGATTTTTAAAAGTTGTTTTTTTCCTGCCTACACATTAATAAGATTAATTCTAAGTGTTGGCAAAGACAAACTCATGTTTGCTTTTAAAAAATAGTTGGGGACGGGGGAGGGGCAGAGCGCTGGATTTCATCTTACTCTATTAGTATTGTGTCTAATCCTGATGTATCAGCAACATGTGTGAATTCAGACCCAATTAGATCTATCTGAAATAACAAGAATTTAAAACAGGTGTAAACATTACTGGATGAAACATAGTATGCAGTTACTTCTAGTCAAATAAAACTAGTATTCTCGAATATGTAAGTATGACATTAAAAAAAAAAGAAAAATCAGAAAAGTTAGCAAATATAAACTTACATTATTGTGGCAAATTTTCCAAGTATTCAGACGTTGATCAATGGAAGATGATATGAATGTTTGCTCATCCAGAAACTTTAGACCTGAGACGGTGAGTACATTGGTAAAAAAATTATTTTACAAATTTGTGCAAATAGCTTATCATTATTGAGCAGTTACCCTACAGAGTGCACTTCCGCCCTGTGCCTGAATACTGAACAATACCCAGGCTGTGTACGATTGGCGATTCCATTATTTCTTTTATGATTGAGAGTTATAGGGAAAAAATAAAATTGAATTTTCTGCGATCTGTCCTTTGACCTTTTCTTCCAAAAAGATAATCATTTCTTTCTTAAGATTATTAAGTACCATTCCACTAAATTTTATGATGACTCATTCTTTAGTCTTTGCATAATCTTGTTAACAGACAGACAGGGGTGAATACATAACCTCCTAATAACTAATACCAGTCTATGCAACACACCAATGATGACCCACAAACCTCTGTGGGGTCTATCTGGTGGTGAATTTGGTAGTACCTCCAGGAGACAATCCCTTGTCATGGGCCATATTTTACATGGCAACAGATTTAATGGTTTCTTTCGAAAGATGGTGCGTTATTAAAGCTTGCATTACTGCCTTCTTGTTAAAACACAAGGATCACAGATAGAATTGAACCGTTGACCAAGGTAATAATATGAAAACTTGCAGTGATGGACGTGTTAGTCCTTTGCAAGAAGTACTGGCATAACGAATGTAAAAAAATATAAGATTCAGCATGTGCGCCCCCCCCCCCACTGGAAATGTTCGAAGCAAAGAAATTGCACTCTAGCAGTTAAAAATCACTGTGTCTCACCTCACTTTGCGAGCTACAGTAGTTCCCCCTCACTTAATCACTGAGGGACCCCCACCTATTTCTAGACTCTTTAATTTTGAAAAAGCTTTGTGCCATCAAACAATGAGTTAGGCTGAAGGATCATCTTTTATTATATAATACTATAGAATTAAATGATTTATACTTAAATATATAACATTAATCTTACCTGAAATGTGAGTGGCATGGGCTGAGGGAGCACTACATGGATCGCCAACTTGAAAATGCATGTGTGCAGCTGTTTGAACTTCGACCTTCAAATTAGTAACATGAATTGCATTGTCATCTCCACCAGTTATTATTAAGTATCCAGAGTCTACGAAATCATATAAAAATTGAAAAAAACTAATTTCTTTTTCGCATTAATAAGCACTTGCTATAAGTTGTCAATCAAATCAGTAGCAGTGGTGGCGCCAGCAGGAGAATTCCACCTATCATATACATGGACCCTCCATCGCCCAGCCCCACAATGAGGTTGGTTGATCAAATACAGTATAATAATTCTCTTATCAAAATAACCCTATTTATACAGTTATATATACAATATTTGAGTAAGAAATATCCTTTAAATTGCTACCTTTTTTGGTCAGATCAATAGCATTAATCCCTGATTGGTGTATTTTCATCCAAAAGACAGGTGCAACATTGTCTTGATTGTGTTCATCAAGATTTGATGCCCCAGACAACTGCAATTGTTTTTGATCAATTTGAGCAATATTAGGTACATCCTCGCTAATATTTCCATATTTCTGTGAAAGCTTCTCATTATCAGATCTAGAAGAACCTGCAAAATCTGTCACTGTCTTATCATCTTCCTCTTTAAGCAAATGAACAGTTGATTCTAATTCCTTGGAGAAAATTCTACCTTGTACAACATTAAAATCTTCTCTATGTAGCAAACTATCAGTGTTTAATGATTGGTCCTCATCAACCATCCCGAAGTAATCATAAATTAATCTGGTGATATCCCACAATGCCACTCTCCCATCTGTCCCTGCTGAGCAGACAAGAGCAGCATTTCCCTCTGGTAGTTTATGTATAATGTGTGTGAGAGATAGCAGACAAACATCATGCCATCCTGATGACCATATCATTTCAATTGTTTTCTGCATTTCGTCAAAAGTAAACACCCTATAAAAAGATTTTTAAATAACTATAGTGAAAAACCAATGAATGGATCATCATAAAATTTAGTGTTAATTGTTAATATTATTTGAAGAAAGAGATGGTTAAATTTTGGGAAGAAAGGATCAAAGGACAAGGTCAAAGAAATTTAGTTTGTCAACCTGAGCATAAAAGAAAATAATGGTGTGACTGCTCTAGGTTTCTTCAAAGCATTTATTATGTAATTGTGAGCAATTAGCGTAAGACGTAGTTTTAATTTTATTGTCATCTTGTTTGCTGCTATGTTTGCTGGTGTTGGCGCATGTGCCGCCGTAAAAAAATTAGAAACTTTAATCATGTCCACGACTGCCTAATTCCCAACATTGCAATACAGTATTGCAATATTTATAATATGAGAATGTCAAGCAATGCATTAAAACACAATTCTATATCATTCATATTGTTACCGTACAACTCCATCAGATGCCGCAATCGTTAAAAATTCAACATGATGAGGGAGTGATTTATTTAAATCATGTGCAGACAAAACTTGAAGTGCCATGTAACGTGTGTCAGGATCAAGCGGCTGTCCACGTTTAAGTCGTTTACGCCGTTGATTTGTTTCAAGTGTCCCATAAGATGCAAGCAGAGAAACTGTACATGCGGATGACAAGTTCTCCTACGTATTTAAAAAAGCGCCAAGATTTTATTTCTAATCAATACACAAATACAAATGAATAAATAAATAAAAGAATAAATAAATATTATTTGTCCAAACCTGTAATTGCTTTCCAGCAATAAAGGATAATGGCATTAATTAAAAAAATAATTCTATTTTAACATTTTAATATTTGTATTAAATTAATTTAATGTGATATTTAAAAAAATAAATGATTACATTAAAAATTAGCTTACTGCATTATTTTGCACGAAAAGTTTCCAACATTTGATACTGCATCTGCCTCCTACTGAGAATAACAATACGGACTTCTGCTCATCTCCTTTCTCATTCTGACATCTTTGGCTGTCCATACTTTTTGATTCCCCAGCCTGCATTTTAGTCATGTGACCGGTATGAGATTCACATGTGGCAAAGTCTCGCACACTAGACACATGATCTTGCAATGTCTTAACAACAGCTGCTTCAGATGTTCTACCTATATCAACCATCTCATTAAGGGATATTATTATAATAATACATACGATATGATTATCAAATTTAATCACCCGATATTATAATACACATGACTTGTTAATAAAGTTAAACAATGCAATCAATATTTGAATTGCATACTTTGTTTACTTATTACTTTTGTGTGTTTGTGTTTTCTGTGTATTTAGATAATTTTTAATTAAATGAATCCTACTGATAAGGAAATTACAGCAAGGATACAATCTATTGCTACAATGTTCACTGTTGTGTCCTCACTTCCTGTTGCAACAAGCAGATAAGATTCACCTTCAACAATAAACAGACAAAATAATAAATTGAAAAACAGATGGAGAAACCAAATAAAGAAGAATAAAAAAGAAATTAATTAATTGCATGGTTTTTAATAGAAATGATATCTTGGAGAGAATGACAACACTAATTAAAAAAATATACAGTCCCCTACCCTTACAGTGATAGAAAAAAAAGTGGATAAAAAGATGTAGGATGTTCAGCAGATAACCTTTAATGGCAGCGATTGAGTAATTTCAATCAGGCCGACCAATGAGTTCAGCTTAAAAAAAAGCCTTTTAATTCAATTTAAGCTGAGATAATAGTTTAATACAAACACAAGAGACATTCTGATAAGATAAAAGTCTTTAATTCTCATCAAGACAGAAGTAAAAGTACTGGTAATCATAGGCCTAGATATACAGTGATATTTTATGTATTTTTACCGAGAATGCATTGTTCGAACCAGAATTTTATACTAAATCAGGGAACCTTAGTTGGAACATGGACCTATAGGTCCATGGTGATATCAATCATGACTGACTACTGTGAGACAAATGATAATAAAGGGGTGATACACTAGGTAAACATGCATATTTAATGAATTTGCGGGAAATGGGTTATTTTACGGGAGATTGCTGTGAGGTAGCGAGATTGCGGGAAGCCGTCGAGACTCTTGTGACTTGCAGGGGAACCCCTGCTAAATCATCCAGACTTCCTTAACTGATATGATAGTAAAAAAATGCTGTTAATAGACATCTTTATAAGATAAGATAATTGCTTTATTTATTTATTCAAGGGTTAAAACACATAAGCTTGGTTCACGTTGAACTTTTATCTAGATATACATCCACTTAAACTAGTTAAAAGTTCGACGTGAACCACTCAATTATAGCTAGTTAAAGGAATTAAGTCACTTAAGTTAAGTGACTTAACTTTACTAGAATAACGGTAAATTAACTTGCTTAACGGTAAAGTCGGCTCGGATTAAAAGGACACGATTACGTAACG